TGACAATAAACTTTTATTACACATTTCTTCAGTCTGATGTGCACCAAGCAAGCGGGGCCGCCTCTGTAAATAATTTATTATTGCGCAAATGAGAAGAGTGTAATTGAGACACGATAATACTTATGGTGTACATAGCATAAGTGTCAACAAAACAAATAATTCTTATTAACAAAGGTGAGTAATAAGTAGTATTAGGCTTACAAATAATGAGTCGAATAGCTCAACAATAAACTGATTAAGTAACCGACTAGTCAAATACTAGAAGTAAATATGCACCATTTTTAGTTGTTTATACAGTAATCGACCTAACATAGACAATATAAGAAAAACTCAAGAAATACTTGGGTTGTGGATACATTCCTTTCGTAGTAAAATCTACATCTAAATATTCTTTTGTTGTGAGTATATAAACATGACGTAGAACAGAGCCGGTCAATCGTCTTAACTAAGTCGTAACTTGAGACTTTTGCAAAAATTAATCGCAGTTCTGATGATGTCCTTTATGTGACGGACGAAACTGGGGAGGATGTCCCGTGGGCTACGCCAAACTTAACGCAATACTCAGGCCAAACGGCTGCAGTATAATGGGAATCTGCATATTCTTCCGATGAGGTCGATCTACGAATATCTTTACAATGCACTTTCATACGAAATGAAAACTTTCACAACAATGGTATCCCAGAAGAATAATCGAAACCCGCATCTTTCCTCGCATATAAATACTTGAATGTATAATGAATCCGATCTAAAAGTTTTTTTCTATATGCTTAAGAAAAATAATTGAATAAATCTATCATTAAATAGATGCATTCAATTATCTACATAAATGTAAGCCATTTGAAACCCTGCTATAATATTTTAGGCAACAAAATGGTAATATGTCAAATTAGCTAAATTTTGTCCACAGCTTACAGAAAACGAATGTATTATTAGATGACAAGGGACGATTAAACCTAAATAATATCAACAATTAATGCAGCTTCTTACCACCAAGCCCATGTTCGCCGTGTTTTTGGCGCTCGCCACTGGCCAAGTTCGAAATTCTTACATGGCCATCATAATATGTGCCAATAAGGCCTGAAGATGAGTAGACGTTGGGCAACGCAAATGCTGATTCGGCTAAATGAGGATGAGGCTGTCGCTGCTGTCGCTGCTGATGCACATCCATTTGGTCTTCGGGAATGGCAGTAGTACAGGAATAGCGTTCATTAAGTGAGAAGGGCTGGGTTACTGTCTCACCTGCTACTGCTCTCACCATGGCGGCTGCAGCCAATGCAGCCGGAGGGGCTCCAAGGCTGCCAGGATGAGCCTCACCAACCGGACTGATGTCTAAGCTGTTTGATGATTCGGTAATTTTTTCTATAGAACAAAGATAATGA